TTCATGTTTTTGTCTTGTTTACGCCCGAAATGGGCATCCATCCTGGGGGCGCTTGCGCTTGCGTTTGCGCTTGCCGTGTCGCTTTCGGCGCAGGCCCAGACCTCACCATCGCTTCGATCTGCCGTTGAAGCCGCCTGGGCGCTGAGCCCGCAGGCGCAAGCCCTGGTCAATCGCCAGGCAGAGTTTGATGCACGCGTGAGCGCCGCATCGTCGCTGTTGTCGGGGCCACCGAGTATTTCGTTGTCGCACCGCACAGACCGGCCAACACGCAACGGCGGCCTGCGCGAGTCTGAAGCGGCGCTGGCCTTTCCCATCTGGTCGCCTGGCGTGCGCTCTGCGACGGCGACATCGCTGCAGGCAGACCGCCAGGCTTTTGACCAGGAACTGGTGCTGGCCAAAATCAGGCTGGCCGCCGATGTGCGCGAGCTTGCCGCGCAGGCCGCACTGGCGCGCAACGAGGCGCAAGTGGCCCAGCGCAAGCAGCAGGAGGCAGCGTTGCTGGCGGCTGATGTAGGGCGCCGCGTCAGGGTGGGCGAGGTGGCGCGGCTTGACCTGCTGCAGGCGCAGGCCGTTCAAAGCCAGGCCGCTGCTGCGCAAGCCCAGGCTGAAAGTGCGGCTGCGCGGGTCAATGCGCAGTGGCGTTCCTTGACGGGCCTGAACGATGTGGCAGAACTCGATGAGGCTGAAGGCGGCGTGCGCGAAAGCCCGGCACTGCTTGCCGCAGACAGCCGCCTGCGTGCCGCACAGGCAAAACTCGCCCTGATGGAGACCGACAGGCGAGACCCCATGGAAGTGGGCGTCGGCGTGACGCGTGAACGCCCGGCTTTTGGGGCTGCGAGCGACACCTCTGTGCGGGTGACGCTGCGTGTGCCTTTCGGCACGCATGGCCGCAACGCGCCCAGGCTGGCCGCCGCCAGGGCAGAGCTGGACGCCGCGCAAGCTGAGGCAATGACCGTGGCCCGCAGCGTGAAAGCCGACCAGGAAAGCGCGGCCAGCGAGCTTGACGCAGCGCGCCGCGCAGAGACGCTGGCGGCAGACAGGGCACGCCTGAGCACCGAAGCGCAAACGCTGATCGGCAAGTCTTACCGCCTTGGCGAAAGCGACCTGCCCACACGACTGCGCGCCGACAGCGAACGCTTTGATGCAGAACTTGCCCATGCACGCGCCCGCGTCGACATGCGCCGCGCGATCTCAAAACTTAACCAGGCCTTTGGAATACTCCCATGAAGCGCTTCAATACATTCTGCAAATCTTTGGCAGGCCTGATGTTGGCCTTTGTTGCCACTGCCGGCATCGCATCCGAAGGCCATGACCACGGCGAAGCTGCCGCCACGACAGCGGCACCCTCAACGCCGCGCTTTTCTGCGCACTCTGACCTGTTCGAGATGGTCGGCATCGTTACCAGGGGCCAGATGGTGGTCTATCTTGACCGTTATGCCAGCAATGAGCCGGTGACAGGCGCAAGGATTGACTTCGAGGTCGGTGCGGACAAAGGCACGGCAACGCCGCAGCCTGACGGCACCTACCTCATCCAGCTGGCCACGCTGGGCCAGCCCGGCAATACCGCGTTTTCGTTCACCGTCACGGCTGGCAGCGATACCGACCTGCTGGCAGGCGACCTCAGCATCGGCGATGGCCATGCCCACGCCGATGCGGGCAGGCCCTGGCTGCGGTGGCTGGCTTGGCTGGGGTTTGGCCTTGTCGCCATCGCTCTGGCTGCAGGCGCAGCTTTTCTTGTTCGCAGGCAGCGCGCGCGGCGTCTGTCTTTCAACTGAAC